CATCCTATATTCTTGGAATTTTTGTAATCCCCATTCCCACTCTGCACCACTTTGGGAGAGGAGGTAAAGCCCAGGAAGGAGAGAGAGGAGTGTGGGAGATATTTTTAAGATTTGTTTTGCTTCTTATTATCCGGCTCTGATTCTGATTGGTAATAAATTCAGCTAATATCCTATATTCTTGGAATTTTAGAAGGGCACAGCCAGGGGCAGCAGTGATGGAAGAGAAAGACAATGCTTATAAATTCCCCCAAACCAGAAACTAAATGGAACATATTTTCAGAATTTTCCTATAAAGCGTGTTCCTCGGTGAGGTAGAAGATTGTGTTATTATGTCATCTAGCTGATTATTCTGCATTTAACAGTGCTTTTAGCCGTAGCACACATCCCAATTCTTTGTTCTAAACAAGGATTTACCTTACAATAATGTAAGGAATGGATAATGTCAATGTCAACTTCACCAGAAAACATGAAGAAATTTGGCCCTAAAATGAAAAACATCTTTAAACATTTGCAGTTTTGCAAATCAAGTTTGTGATGTTTTGATGTGCCTTCTAAGGACTTTTGAGCCCTTGAAGTTCTTTTCCTTCTCATTCTACAGGACAAGCTAGAAACATACTATGAGCTGCAGGGAAGGCAATTTGTTTCCTGCTAGAAGCACTGTCATTCTGTTTCCACTGGGAAAGACCCACACATGCTACATTATTACAGCTTAGAAAATTAAAAACCCAGCCTGAACTAAAAGCTTTTAACATAAGTAAGTTTAAAAATAGTATTGCCCTATATGTTGCTAAAGCAAACAAAGTACAGATTCTCATTACTCTAAATACTTTTTTCTAAAGCTCTTCTGTGCACACCTTTCTAAGAAGGGAATCACAGGAAAGCCACAGGATGGACTGAGGTTCTGCTGGAAAATTTGTAGTTGCTTCTGAATTGTCTCACTGTACATAAAAGAGAGGAAGGAGAGCCAGGCTCAAAGCAGCTTTAGGCAAGAATGGCTGATGGGATGTTGCTGTGAGGGCTTGCAAACCAATTACTGTGTGATGGAATAAAACCAGGTAATGGTGGACACTGATAAGTGACTTGCAGTGCAGCTCAGGAAACTGATTTGTTCCTCTAGCTTGCTTGTGTTGTTTGGAGATTCTGAAGTGAAACCTAATGATTCGTGTCTGCTAGCCAAATGAATCCTTCAATACTGGACAGCTATCGAAACTGGACTCTGGCTATTTGGAGAGAGTGTGAGCAGCAGAAAAAAAAAAAAAATGCTTAAGTTCTGGAGGCTCTGAATGGCTCTGAGCAGAACACACTGCAGAAAACATGGCAAGTTCTCTGGAAATGCAGACATGCTTTTGACAGCCAAGGCTAAAGCATGGTCTGTCAGTTTTCTGGAGGAAAAAATATAAGTTATTTGGGAGTGGAACTTTATCTGTGAAACAACTAACATCAGTGACAGGGGAACCAAACATGCCTCACAGCAAATAATAGTATTCAAAATGGATTTGCATATAAAGATTTTGGTAGTGGAGGGCTACAGGAGTGGCTTCTGTGAGAAGCTGCCAGAAGCTTCCCCCATGTCTGACAGAGCCAATGCCTGTGGCTCCAGGACTGCTGCTGGCCAAGGCTGAGCCAATTGGAGATGGTGATAATGCCTCTGTGATAACAGATTTAAAAAGAAAAGAAGTTATTCAGATTTAGTTGTGCTCAGAGAAGAGCAGGGTGAGAGGAAGTTTCTGCAGACACCAAGGTGAGTGGAGCAGGAGAGGCAGGAGCTGCTCCAGGCACTGGAGCTGAGATTCCCCTGCAGTCCACGCTGATGCAGCTGTGTCCCTGCAGCCCATGGAGATCCATGGGAGTACAGACATCCCCCTGCAGCCCATGGGGGAGACCCACACTGGAAAAGTGAATGCCTGAGAGGAAGCTGTGGCCCCATGGGAGGCCTATACTGTACAAGCCTCCTGGCAGGGATCTGCAGACCCATGGAGAGGGAACCAACACTGGAGCAGGTTTCCTGGAAGGACTTGTGATCCTGTGGAGGATGCACGCAGGAGCAAGCTGCTTTTGAAGGACTGCATCCCATGGAAAAGTGACCCACATTGGAGCAATTCATGAGGAACTGTAGCCCATGGGAAGCACTCCAGCTGGAGAAGTTTGAGGAGGACTGTCTCCTGTGGGAGCAAACCCACAGTGGAGCAGGGGAAGGACTTCTCTCCATGAACAGCAGCAGGAACAACTAGTGATGAACTGACTGTAACCCCCATTCCCACTCTGCACCACTTTGGGAGAGGAGGTAAAGCCCAGGAAGGAGAGAGAGGAGTGTGGGAGATATTTTTAAGATTTGTTTTGCTTCTTATTATCCGGCTCTGATTCTGATTGGTAATAAATTCAGCTAATATCCCCAAGTTGAGTCTGTTCTACCTGTGACAGGAATTGGTGAGTGATGCTTCTCCCTGTTCTTATCTCAATTCATGAACCTTTCATTATATTTTCTCTCCCCCATCTAGATGTGGAGAGGAGTGACAGAGCAGCTGTGGTGGATCCAGCCATGGTGAATCCACCACAAAAAAGCATAGTAAAAAAACACATTGCTGGTGACAGACCAATAACAGGGTTGCAGTATGACTGTCTTGTATCTGCCAGCTAAAGCCAGGACCTGCTATAGTGACACACATGCAGTGGAGTCAGGCAAAATCTGCAATAGCTGTTATATGTACACCGTTAACAAATCTAAGCAATTTTAAAAAAACGAAAAAAAACACCAACTAAATACATCCTAGCTTCTAAGAACACTCACACCTGTGAGATTTCACTCTATTCCTCCAAAATTCATGCCAAAATAAATTTTGTTTTTGCTGAGAATCCCATGAAGAAAACACAGATTAGCACTGATTGCAGATAACATTCTACAGGTGCTGCTGAAGAAACTGTGTGACTCAGGGGAAACAAAATGTGCTTTCCAATTTTCCTATGCTCCTGTGAAAATCAAAGACATAGCACATCCACCAGTGTGATTAAGGATAAATATCTCTCGCCTTCTCCAGACCTTACATACATGTTGTAATGTACTGCTTGCTCTTTCACCCGTTTCCTTCTGCAGGATCGAGAATTCCTTATATTACACTGTCATCCCATGTAGCTATAAAGGATAATTGTTTATGCCTCCCTTAAAACAACATTTTTAAAGATTTAGAATCTTAAATTAGTTTTCTGCAGAACAGCTACTCTCTATGGAATTCCAGCTGAGTAGAAAAAAATTCTGAATAAATCAGGAAAAAAAGACAGTTAATTATTTCACTGCTCTTAGTCCCATGCGCATTTCTGTGGCACTCATATGTTGAAAGTACCAGCATATGTGCCTGCAATCTTGAAGTATGCTCTACACTTCAGCAATTACATTTACAGCAATGACACATGGGAATGAAATGAAGTTGTGCTAAGGGAAGTTCAGATTGGCCATGAGGACAAGGTTCCTCACTGGAACTGTGTTCTCAGTGATCACAGCACCAAGCCTGTCCGAGTTCAAGGAGTATTTGGATGATGCTCTTGGTCATATGGCTTAGTTTTAGGAAGTCCTGTGAGGAGCAGGGAGTTGGACTCAATCCTTGCAGGTCCTTTCAAAATGAGATACACTGTGATTCTGGTTTCCTTTAATAGGTAGCTTATCTCTGTAATAGTTCTTGTAAAAAAAAACCACTGAAATCCATATTCAACATACTCAACTCCTTCATTACAGTTAATTAAACTAAGACCCTTTTTACTAGTCTGTGAGATAAATGCCTATAAAACTACAACACATTTGTATATTTATAATATTTATAATAATTTATAATATAATATTGTATTTATAATAGGAAAGGAAAAATACCTTGATTTTTTTTTTTTTTTTTTACATAAGTTGTGCGATATTTTTACTACAGCATCAAATCCTGGGAGCTTGTCATTAGGGCAAAAATTTTTTGATACTTGCAAAAATTTATAAAGAAGTTTGTTAGACCTCATGGATGAAAAAGTAATCTGTAAACATAATTCAAGTACACCCTGAAGGTTTAAAGATTGAACCATTATTTTATTTTGGGAGTGTTGAATCATGATTTTCAATGCTTTGAGCTGGCAGCTGCAAGATACTTGCAAGCTGAAATACCAGTTTAATGAGTAGCCTATAGAAATATTCAGACTACCATCAGAAATTTTTTGAGCTTGAATCATACCAAAAACTTTACAGAGATAAAAAATAACTGAAAAATACAGCTGAGGAACCAGGAACTATAAATTCTTAAAATTTCTTAATACTTATAATAGGGAGGGCAAGGGGTGGGGAGGGTTTATGTTTGTTTATTCGTTTTAGAAAACCTAACTGCAGTCTCCTAGACTTTAAAATGGTGATTAATGTAAACACAAGAATAGGCTTACTTGATTGAAGTAGGTTTTTTACATTAAAGAGTATTTGAGATAATAAATAATAGGATATCAGATGAAAAATATTATAAAGATATGGTTAATATATACCTTATATTTCTTGTGTCAAAATTTTCCTGCAGAAAATATATACCATCTTGAGGACAAAGCATTTGCCTAGTTTCAAAGACCATACTTTTTTTTTCATCCCCTGCACTTCTGTGCTGGTAAACACTTATACTGGCTTTTGCACTGTACTCAAATACTTTGCTAAATATATCAACTTTTCCTTTAAACCCTGCAATGGCAGAGTGTTAAAATAAAATATACTTCTATGTAAAGAACCTTTTGTTCAGATGTGAGCTTGTGTGGGGAAAAAATGTGAAGAAACAGCTCCCATACTTGTACTACTCTTTCATCTGAATGAAGAAAACAGATGTGGCCAAAAAAAGCTGCTTAGATTAGCTAATATGCCCCACATACATTTCTTTCAGTTCATGCATCCATGTATTATAATAAACCACATACTGGACTAAGCTTAAAATGAGTTGCAGTTCCATACATACATTTGGGTTTTGCACATCATAATTACCCTTTTCTTTTTAAATTAACTAGACTGACCTGTTAGCAAAGAAACTGCAATAACCACTTTCCTCTAGAACCTCTTCAATTAGAATCTACAACATTAAAGAACTTAATTTCAGTGAACTAAGAGTACTATTAAGAGCAATAAATGAATACATATAGATAAATGTACAGCTTACCTGCAACTGCTTATATGTCATCCCTTCTGCTACGCCAGAAGTGCCAAGAATGCTTTAAAGTAAAAGGCAAGCAACATTAAACTACTGAACTTGGGATTTATGCTCCCTTAGCAGTTTCTTAGCAATTCCACTTCAAACATAATGACAGGACAGATGTTTCACGACCAGTAACTCTCACTGAGCACAATGACCCTCTAAAAAGTGGGGTCATTTTATGGCATGATAAGAACATTTGACGCATACACATTATGGAAGTATCCTAACCAACGAAAAATAATTTATAGACTTAATGTAACAGAACTCAGAAATGCAACTTCCTTATTTTTTCCCCCTTACAGTGGAAATTTACAGTGGAAAAGGGCAAACAGCCAGCAGCGATTTGTGAGGTTAAGAGATTCAAAAATTACAGACAATGAGCAGCTCAACAAATTGCATTATCTTCTCCAGGAACAAAATAATGCTCATATTTAAAGTGACTGTTAGGGACTCATTTCCTGCTCAAATATCACCCTTGACACCTAGTATTAATTTTGGTTTTGCAATAAGCTGTGGAACAGATATGCTATTTGCAACACAAAGGCCATCAAAACTAAAGTTTCTCACTCTTCTTTCTGGCACCACGGATTTTAATGTTACTGTATCCTCTAGTCCATGGATTGCAACACAGTTTTTTCTGTATTTAGAAGAATGTAAATGGCACAGTTACCAAAATACAGGCTCCACATTTCCCTTACGTCCATTGCACCAAAAAAAAATGTGATGAAAAAAGTCTCTGAACCAGGAATTGTAGTTTCCCAACCTGGGTGATGCCACAGCTGGTAGGTACGATTGTACATGGTGTTTATGATTTGTCTTCAAAATCACTAGTCCAAAGTAGAATTGACACATATATTGATATATTTTCTAAAGTATATATACAAATGTGTGTGTCTGTATTTTTCCCTCCTCAAGTTCATAAGGTTTGATCTAGCTATGTAATTAAATCAACCCATTACAACCATTTCACACATGACAAAAGAACAACATAAGGGTTTAAACCCTTATTGGTTTAAAAATTATATGCAAGGACAAGTAAATCCTAAGTATGACATTTTCAATTACAAATATTTTATTAATTTTCATGGCTGAACTACAAATTATTTGCATCTTTGATATTTCTTTATGATTTCCAAGTGTACTCTCTTCAATCAGTAGAAAATTCCAGCAGTGCTGAACTGTGTATCTTATCAGGAATTAAATAAGAGAAAACAAAACCCAACCAACCAACAACCCTCAAACCAAAAACAAACAAACCCACCCCCCAGAAAATCTGTATGGTCAACATAATTTTATTGTCTTTAATGACTGATCTTGGAGTAGCAATTCCTTCTGCTTTGATATCTTATACTGTATTAGAAATATATATGCCACTACAGAAGTTTATGATGCTTTGTTTACCTTTTCTATCATCTGGAAGCAATATATTTCCGCCCATGCCAATCTGCTGTGAAGATACTTGGTTTAATCAATTCAGGAGAACCTTGCAGCAGCTAGGGAAAAAAACAGAGACCAAAAAAATAAAATCACCTGAAAAGTCCATCCTTCCCATTTGCCACAACTTCAGGCTTCTAGGAGGCAGTTTACACTTTCTTATGTTTCCCAGAAGCTTTCTTCTGCAATTAGAAATCAAAAGACGTTTCAGTACTTTTTAGATTAATGAAAAAGTGGTGAAAACAATTATGAACATCCTACCTTTTTCTCTCCAGAAACACTGAACATTGCAAGTTGCACTTAGCATAAAGCACTGAATTCTTCACATGATCTGAATAAAATGTCACAAACCATACATTTGTATGAAGATAAACAGGAAAGTGTATTCTCTTGAACCTATGAGAGAAGCAGCTGATGACTCTGGTTTTTAAAACTGTGGCTTCAAATGAAATTGTGAAATTGTTAGCTGATATTCAAGTGATATAATTCCTATTAGAGGGATCCCAGCACTTCTGAAAGTCAGTTCAGCTACTTGATTATATGAGCAATGATACTGACATTAAACTTAAAAACATCTAGTTTTGAAAATATCCACTGGTACCAGCTCTGACTTTTGTGTGCAGGAGAGAAATTTCAGTTATGCATTTCTGCAGCATGATAACACTTTTTACAGTTACAGAAACAGAAGAATCTCTGTTGTTGGAAGACTTTTACCCCATCACTGAACAGTGGAGGAATCTTTTTTCTGAAATTCTTATTAGGTTTTCTAACTTGGTGTAGTTAAAACCCCATTATTTTTAAATTTTTTTTCCAGAAATCGTACAACCTCATAACAGTTGCTGTAAGGGTTCAACCTAATTCTCTGCTTCTGTTCCTCCCATTACCTCCAAATGAAATCCATGTAACCCAGTACATTTACAGCGTTGTTTTTGGTAAATTATGTGATATTTATGCTTATCAATTCTCCATCCTTCCAACTGCACTTTTTTTTGTTGCTTTCCATTAATAGAATATAACTATTCCTTCAAGGTAGAATGCCCAGAATTGCTTCCAACATTTCAAATATTTTCAATTTACTACCATTTACTTTTCAAACAGAGTATTTCTTCCCTTTTCTACAGGTTTAAATCCAGTAGTTTTGAAGCTAGCACAATTTTACAGTTGATAACATTTACAAATAATTTCCTTAATATCTGAACAGCTGAAAATTAGGTTGATTTTATAATAAACACTTCCTTTTTTCTTATATTTTTGAGCACACTTTTTTGAAAACATCAATTCAATACACAATGAGCAAGTATTTCTATGCTATGGCTGAAATACAGGAATTGTTTAATGTAAATCCCAACTTGATTGACAGGACAGCATGAAACTGATAGCTCAGAAAGAAGCATCTTTAACTACCTTTCTAATGTATTACCAATGTGCCACCTTCCAGGAAGTTTTAGGACCTCAGATGAATTATTACAAAAGCAGAGGAAGGATCTGGTGTTTGAGGTAGGTCTGTTTCGTAGCAAACAATGACACAGAAGACTACATAATTCAATGGAAGTAGGTGATAATCAAGTTACAGAGGAGAATTATGTGAATGATAATAAGTCATCAAATTTTAGGTACAATAATATATCTAATAACCACTTTATCATCAATTCATAAACTAAATATCTTAGCTTCAGTCTCCCACAGTACACAGACACAAGAAGTAAATTTCAAATCCTTTACTGATTACAGTCCTCTCAGGAGATTTCGAAGGAACATTTAGAAATTCTGATATTAATCATTAGATCTTTCTCTGTTGAAGGGTATCCAGCATGTCACTGGAAAACATGCAAGCATGCTCCTTGGCTCAGGCCATTCTTACAAATCTGCAGTAGTTTTAAACTGATGACACTAAAATGTTGCTGACACCCTGTGCAATAACAGGACGAGGCATGTTATATTCAAGGTACTCTGGGACAGTGCTTTCTTAGGATTCATGGTTTGAGTAGGAGTACAGTACAAAATATGAGAAATATCAAGGAACTATTATCAAGAAGAGATTGCATAAATTAAGAGCTTACATAACCTCTAGTTACATTGCCCTTCCTCTTGTCTTTTTGAACTCTAATGAGATGAGGTCTGCTTTTATGTATTAGGAGCTAGCAGGTCCTTTCCATCTACAAAAGGAGTTCTACTGACAAGACACAAACTTGAAATCAACTGCAGAAACTCCTTACTTAAGGAGACTCCATATTTGCCAAATATAGGATAGCTAGAGAATATTCTAAACATTTCCTTTAGAAAATGGACTCTTACACTTATATTTTTGTGAGATTAATATCAATAGCATGATTGAATGGAAAGAGAGACAAACTTGAACACAAGTAGTAAATGATGTACCACACCTTTTTCTTTTCTGATTTCAGTTTACAAGGATTGTCCTGCTTACTGACAAGGGACTTCTTGAATCTCTCAATGATTCTCCTTTTCAAATTGCATCACAAAGCTGGAGGAAGCTACATGAAACAAAGAAATACACTTTCACTATTTATGGCAGTTACACCTGCCATAAAATGAGCCATTCAGAAGTGCCATTATTGAGAAATGTAGCTACACTGCAAAAAGAAACATTGATATCTAATGGCATGGTGATAAACAACAGTATAAGACTTGATTTAATGGCACATTATAATAAGGCTCCTTCGTTTGCCCATTAGGCTTAGCTCACCATGTAACTCAGTTCTTCTAGTCTTGAAGTCAAACATCATTATTAGCCTAGCACTGATAATACCAGATTTGCCTCCCTGATCAAAGTGCTAGTATTTGGGACATTTTTCTACAGATTAAACTCACAGTACATTACACTAAATTTCATGATGGCTACAATGAGTTGTTCCGTCTGAAATTAATGGAATATCAAGAAGCTGAGACCTTCATTCAATGTGCATAGAATAGCTTCAATGGCCTCTTTTGAGGTCCTTATGGGTCTCTATACAATTCAGAGCATCCCTTTTGCTCTAAGCCTCCTGAGGGAGGTAATTTACCTTTCACTTGTCTATAAAGCATAACTGATTTTATATACTTTTTCCTCTTGTGTCTTTTTGGTTGAAAAAGAACACATCATTCATCTGTATTTACAAAAATCAAAAACCCAGACCAAAACCCCACAAATTGTACTCTGTTGTACTTAAAGTCTTCAACAGAGAGTCCAAAGGATGTTTTTTCCTTTAAAGTAATTTTTATGCTCCAATTGTAAATGTACAGTTTCAGCTGTTGGTCACTCTAATGACAACAACCCATTCCGACAACCATTCTGTGGTATTTTACTACCCTTTTGAATTTATCTTCTATGCTCTTTCTGTGCAGTTGTTTATACCTGCAGACCCCCTTTGAAAAACTATGATTATCTCCCATTTAGTATACACTTTGTAATCATTTAGTTGATGTAAATTCATGAAGTGCCACTCTGCTGAATTCAGGAAGCTTTTTGACTATTTAGGGAGGGGTGACCACTAATGATTCACATTCAAACATTGACATAGTACACATTATAAAGACGTTTATCCCACTGGAACAAATTACTGCTCTTAGACAGCTATAAATCCAGAACAGTTTTATTGGCCTCACAGGAGTCCTGATTTGCTCTGACAAACCAGGAATCAAAGTCACATGTTAAGCACAAAAGACTTCTCCAGACAGCTGCTGACATGCAGATTTTTTTTTTTAATTTTTTTTTACAGACAGATATTACTCTTCTTTTCATGCAGATTAGGCCTTACACATATGCTTTAAGTCAGAAGTTCAGTGTTCCCTAGCCTATAAGAGAGTAAAGAAAAGATGCCTTAGGAAAGGCCAGCAACATATTCCATGGATTACACAGCACTGCAATCAACTGTGTGTAGTTAATGTACCATGGAGATATGGTGATATTCTGAAGCAGAAATGGTAAGGAACAAGTTCAGTGCTTGAGAAACTTGGGAGTTGCCTTGGGCCCTAGTGTTCAGTTTTAGCTTTTGTTTTAATGAAATCTGTTGTCAGATCAGTTAAAAAAAAAAAAAAAGTAATGAAAAAAAGAAAAAGCCAAGCATTTACATAATGCTTTTTAAAAATCTTTCTCTCACATTGTTTTCCAGAGATCACTCTGATTCTTGTTCCCATGGAAACAGGGGAGGCTGCTGGCAGCCAAGAACTAACATGCAAGAACTCTTCCTTGCAAACTTCAGTTTAGACCTGTCAGCTGGAATATGTAACAGTTTGAGAAAACAGCTATGTATTATAAAAAATACTCGATCTTAGATTTGTAAGAACATAAACAAGTGCAAGGAAGGCATATGGAACATAGTAAACAAGTACAGGTATGGATACGGGTTTCTCTGAAATCAGAGAAAAGCTGTTCCTACTGCTTCAGTGGTCAACTCTGAGCCAGTTTTTGAGTTGCTGTTAACTCTCAGTTCTTGAGCATTCACATTACAATAACTCATATTAATTAGTAAGCCACTTAAGAAAGCCTTCTTCAACAGAGAGGATTAGTTCACTAATAAGCACCTTGGACATAGTCTTAATATAGCATGTAAAAACTGAACCGCCTCATTTCTGCTGATAGGAGAAGGATATAGTTTCCAATTATTTTAAATAATGTTTGTTTCCTTTGTTTTTGATAATTCAATTCTTGTATTACCTGTTTTGATAAGCTTGACAACTAAAATGAAAAAGAAACAACAAAAGAGAGACATGTAAAGCACACCCAAGTTCAGTTATGTTATTCTGTTCTAAACAAAACCAAATTTGGCTGATCAATCTCAAAAGCCCTGAGGTGATAAACATCACATGCCAAATGTAATGTTCCAATACTTCATTTTGGAAAATAAAAAGCTGTTTATTTAATAATAGCAAATTTTTCAAAAAGCTGCATGGTAGCCATCTTTCTGCAGAATAAACAGGTTCCAATCACATTTTCAGGTGAGAGTTCAAGGCAGATTTTGTATCAGCTCAGCTCCATTTTTGCTTTGGAATCACTGGAATGAAAAAACTTCAGCTCTCTCTCACTACGAAATAGTTGAACCTAGTTTTAAAACAAGTCTTAAATTTGAAAAATATCTGACATTTCAAAATAGTTAACATATTCAGGATTTCATCTATTGCACTAAAACTCCCAGGACAGTATTACTATGTACTGATAATTAAAATATAACTTCAAAGTTATTTCAAAACTATTACTACAGAGGAAAGCATTTTATTAACTCTCCATATCAGTAAATGATATTATCACCTTAAGTGGTCATATTGCTGGCATGACAGAATGTTGTAAAAATACTTTACTGTACAATCCATTTTTCTGAGGTGAGCCACAGCTTTTTTTTTTCATATGACTCAATTATTTCCATCCTCCACATACTAATATTCAAAGTTAGTCTTTATTTTAATGATATATTTTTAAAGCATCCTGCCATCTGCAAAAATGTCAAGTTCTGTTGTTTTTAAAGAACAGTAACTAAATTAGCAGCACTTTGCAGTAACATCATTTTGACAACAACAAATGACTAAAAAGTACAGAATGTCAGAAGAAACAGCAATGCATACTTGAGTGATGAAGATAATTTTGTGCGGCTGAATAAGAATCTGCTGAACAGGGTCACTGATCTGACTCACTTTCCTTTGTGATACAGCAATTCCTGCCAATGCTGTAGATGACAAGAGTAAAATCAGGAGGGCAGCTCATTTTGGTTCCTTAGTACGTTAATAGCATACAGAGTTTAAAACTTTGTAGACGTAAATACCAAGCTGAAATGCTTGACTTGTTTTCTCAATAATGCTGGGAATAAAAAAAAGGATAATCTAAAATGTTAAAAATTTAGACAATGTAAGTGACAACGTGTTGTAAAAGAAAATCCCTTCCTCTGAATCACTAAATTACTCTATGAGAAACGCAGTATTAATGTACTTTAACTATTGTTAAAATTTGTCACATTTATTCAAAAGTCTAAATATATGATAAACATAATTTTATTAACTGATTTTTTTTTTTACATAGACTAACACAAAGTATTTTTACATATATTTTGATGTTATGAAATTTATTTTCATTCTACCCTAAGGATTATAATAATATGTTTGACATGGACCAGTTCAATGAAGTAAATCTATTGTTTAGGATTTTTTATCTTGTGTATTAAAGTCATACACGTTGTCAGGCCCAGAGATTAAATAAAAGCATATCAGCAGACTTCCACTATAAAACATTTAGTGTGTCACTAAGAACATTAGTCCACAAAATAATCTTTCCAAGTTGACTATTAGACCTGGAAGCTAAGCAAAGAGCTTTGGCCAAAGAATTGAACCTCAGCCAGCAGCCCTGTACCTCTCTTAAATACAATTATCTCTAAACTACACTTCAGAGGCTAATTTAGGTATTCTAACATTTAATCTCACAGAAACACCCTAAGGATCATCAAGTCTTATATATAAATCTACAACAACAGAAACTTTTTCTTTTTTTTTTCAAAGTGATCTTATGTCAAGCTTAAAAATTCTACTGAGAGGGTGATGAAATCTAAATACCAACATTAACTAGTCCACAACAGAACTATTACCACTTTTTTACTGATAAATTTCTGTGCTGGCTAATTTAATAAGAAGAAAGACATTCACAAACATTAGTGTCGAAAGACCATCCAGATCTGAACTGTGCTTTCACAGAAACAAAGTGATAAAGAAAACATTCTTCTCTGCCACAGGGAGACACATTTTTAATAGGATCAGGAAGACAACATCATTGGTGTTGCTGGGGTTTTTGTGCCTTTTGGCAGATGTCTTGAGAAAGTCAAGTGAAATTCAGATTGACATATTTTCCCTAGGTCTTCTCTTAATAATCAGTAAGAGGAAAAGAAGCTTTGCATTTCCTCTCAGTCACTTAAAGAAAAATGTAAGTTGGTTCTGCTCAAGGTAACAGAGGAAGCCATGCTATAATAATCTAAAATATATGCCACCAGAAGAATAATTTTGATTTAGCCCTTCTTCTTCATTTTCAGCTCTCTAACAGCTTCAATACTGCTATATTCAAGGCCCAAAAGAACCCAGTGTGGTCTTGTCATTATAACCTTAAAAACTTCAGTTATATGGGGACACTCATAAAACCTTTACCTCTTTGACATGTTCCCTTTTTCACTGCTCCCTGTTCTGTGGTATTTGTCTCTTCTCCTGTCAGTGGCTTCTATTACAAACCAAAAGTAAGTAAATCAGAGTATTTTCTTTTGTAGGTCTTCAATTTCTTTTTTTTTCTGAATAGAGATATGTCTGGAATAACAGCAAACAGCAATGACCAAGTAGGACATAATTTGGATTTCCCTGTTATTCAACTTAGGGAACTTTTTCTGTTTTCTAGTATGACAGCAACAATTTGATTTAAAGTCTAGGAGGACCAGATTTAATGTCTACTTGTAGTATCTGTGTGCTTCAAAGACTTCAGGAGTTCCTATGGAGTCCATACACTCCAGACAACTCCAAGTTCCTTTTTTTTCTAAATATAGAAGTACAGCATTATTTGAAAAATGAGGGCACATGTGTGAATAGCTGCTGAAGTCTTGACCAAAGCTTTTAAGACTTTTAACCAAAAGGAAAACATCACTGACAAAAGATAATGGATTTACTCAAATTACTCCCAGGACTGAAAATATCAACAAAGACTAAAGTATTTTTCTGTAGATCATTATAGCTTGCAGACATTAAGTTTAAACTGTGCTGTTATTATATGGCACCCTTTAGCAAACAGCACTGAAACTACAGAAGGTCGACATCAAATTTGGATTTGTACTTCATAATTAAAATTCTTAATACAGTTTCTGTATTGAAAGCTGTAAAATAGAACTTCGTACAGACAATAACCACTTTTTTTGTGAAGATCAATCTCTTAACTGATCAAAATAGTTTTATTTCAAATATTATTTAATTCACACAATATGTATTCTGAAATCACAGCTTAGCAACTTATGGCGTGTGAATCTTGTCAGTAAAAGGAAAAGTACTTCAAAGAGAAAACTCATTTCATCAATCATGATGCATAAATACATGATAATTTGCAACGGCTATATGAAATATTCATTTTACAGGAGAAATTCCCATTGCATTCAGCAGAAGTTTGGCTGGGATAATGACAATTAACAGGAGATCTTACTGATTCATATTGGAATTCATACTTTTAAGAACTACCTTAATGATACTTCAAATAACATATTTGTATGTCAAATGTAATTATCTCTTTTTCTAACACTTTAAAATACAATTATAAACCACTGATATTTCAAATTGCAAAGAACTACAACTGGTAGAACATGAAACTGCCATCTCATCATGAACAAGCACTCAATTTTCTTAGTGTGGAACCTGCGGGTGAGTGAAGGTACTCTCAAAAGCAGATCAATAGGCACTAAAGAGGAAGAAATGAAAGAGGAAACATGCTATATGCAACAGGAGAATAATGTAATAATGTTCAAAAACTTGAAAATCGTTAGGTTTAAGTTAAAGTTTGAATTTCTTACAAGTTCAAAATTACCTGATCACAGTCTTGATCCAGAACTGTCAACATAATCTCTATCATTACTAAAAAAAAGAAAAAGGTTTTAATTGCATTCGGCATCAATGATTGTTGAGAAAATACAGTATTCCCTGACTCCTTCTCATGTTTCCTCTAAAGGAAATCTGTCCAAATTCACTAGTTTACAATTGTGCATTTTTAAGTCACATAAAGGCTGGTTTACTCTGCATGTCCAAAATAGAATGACTTCTACTAAACCAAAGTTTCTTTTCTTGGGCAGTACTAGTAAGGTGGGGAAAATATTGGTATTACAGCACCAGGGTAGCAATATCTCAATGCCAGAAATACAGGTTTACATGTTTCAATTCTACATCCTTCCCTAAACTCTAGACTAATACTTTGCCAGCCTGCAGATTTCACTAGATGAGATAAGCAATAACAAATAGACATATACATAGACATAGACCATAGACACCAGGTAACTAAAAGAACAAACATGATGTCCTGATGGATGGCAGCCTCCATAGCCCAAGTATGGCAAGAATTTTTATCTATTTTTGTGGCAGTAGGGAAAACTAGTTTCAAGGAGTAGTTATAAATTAAGATAAGGAAATAGTTTTGCTAATCATTATATGAGGGGAAGAGATTTGTATAGTAGTGAATTTCTACAAAGAGAAAGAAAATGTGCTTTCTTCAATGCTCAAGCATGGGGAGGCTGCCACTACTGACTGCAACAGGACTAAAGATGTAAGGCTAGAAAGTAATAAATGGGAGATTGGACAGTGTTATGCTAAGAACCATTCTGAAAGCAAAAGTAAAATCTTGCACTTGAATCAACAGGAAAATAATCAATGCTATCATTATAAATACTTACCTAGCTCAGTTAAAGGTAAAATAAAAAAAAATTTCAGGAGGCAGATGCAGCAAAGAGTGATTTTGAGAGTTTTTTCCAGATATAAAAGAAGAGCAGAAATGAAGAAACAAGAGGATTTCAGAGTGCTGCCAAAATAAAAAATAATGGTCAAGAATGTACTTCATGCATTACTGAAGAAACAGAAGGAAAAGGAATATCTTTAGAAGAGGGATGGTATGACATATTCTGTTTCTGTTTGTTTCCTTTTTGAAGGACATGAGGCCTCCAAAATGCAAAAAATGGGCGTCTATGTTTATACAGAAAGTCTAGAGGAGGTCAAAGGGCCAAGATACTACTCTACACTACTACAACATACTCTACACCATCAAATACACAAGCACATTTTTCTATGGAAAAATGTCTGCTTAAAAATATAAAAACAGAATTTGGCTAATCAACAGGTGTCAGATTAAACTTCAGTAGCAAGGTCCATTGTAAAACCTATTTATCATGTAAAGCTGCTGTGTGTAAACACCCTTTAACAATATCCTCAAGCAGACTTAGTGTCCTAGGCTGAGGTAAAATGAAGCCATAAAGGACATATTTCATGAAGGCACAGCTCCACTGTGAAACAACCAACTGGAGTTGATAGTAACAATGTTCAATTATATTAAAATCATAAATCACTCCTACCTTATCTGAGGTTGTTTTTCAGAAGCACTAAAACTTTGTTTAATTATACCTGAAATGAACACATAAATATTATTTTCTGTTTAAAAGAAACCTACAACATGCATGTTAGTATCTTCTATTCCCAGACATGGTATCAAAATAACTTCTAAAAACAGCATTAAACAAACTCCAAATCCCTACTTGACTATCAAGTTGCTGTCTGATATATCAAAGATTTGCTTGCATCATAACAAAAATCTCAGCCCAACAGAGTACTTTAATAAATTATTTCAGAAAATTGTTGCAGAAAGTAACACATGCTGACTAGATGTCCACAGAATATGTACTTGGATTTGCACTTTTCCCCTATAGCCACAACATTGTCTCTAGTGTGGATAAGGAGATAGAATGTTTTCCCAATTTCTTAGAGGTCCACCAGAGATTTACTGCCACCATTCCACTAGCTGGCTATCTATATGCAATAACATATGCAATACCTTTCTTCTCAAATAATCCTACTGAAGTCAAAACCTTGAAGACAGCAGTACGACCAGTTATTGGTCCAACATCTAATCAGCAATAAAAGTGAAAGTAAACATTGAAATAATTTATTGCATGCTGCCAAAAAATGTGTAGAAGTAAAGCTAATGTTTGACAACATCTATTATTTATGCACTTGGAAAGCTTTGCCTTAAAGCAAATATTAGTCTTAAGCATTTGTCTTAAATCATTCCTGTAAAACCATTCTTTTGATGGTAATTTGGATGGTAATTTGGATGGTAATTTGAGACCAGCCTGGTATCACATTTTGATAGAGTTTATGTTTAATGAAAAGATAATTCTGCTAACTGAAAGTCTGAGTAGCAAGATTAGGATATTCTTACAATTTTCCCATACAATTAATGTATTTTAATAAAAGGCCTGCATCTTTGTCTACATGAGATTTTTTTCCACACTAGTAGCATCATTATCACTAAACAAGAACAGAGGCATCTAATCACTTAAACAACAGATAAGAAAAAAAGATTTTATGTCAGACTTAAACTAGTTTTCCCATTGCTTGTTACAGCAGTTATATTTGTTCTAAGCAACTGTAGAACAAATATATTTCTGAGTCTTACATCTTTTCGTGTTGAAACATACTTTTGTGTTGTACTCTGAAATATTTTTCCTATTTTTCTGAGATCCTCTGAATTAAAAAAAAAAAAAATCTGAAGGAGGCTTTCATCTGTCAAACTGAACTCACTTTAAAACCAAAAGAAATTATACATCTTTAGGCCAAATCTGTCTCCCTAAAAAAAAAGACACAGAGACAGAGAGAGAATGAAAGAAAAAGAAACATTTTAATCCTTGCTGATGTTTTGCTTAGCAAAACAGATACCAAAATTCTGTGATTGCTAGCACAAAAGACTATTTGATAAGAGCATCTGAATTACATAATAGCAAATAAACTAGGCCCTTATAGAAGTAAAAGTTCTTCAATTAACTTTGTTAATGAGACAGAAAAATAGAAAAAGAGAGTGCTCACTGCCTAGAAAGTGAAGGAAATGAAAAATATTTTTGTGCCTACTCAAGGAACAGATTTTTTACCTGCTTAGGACAGAGACACAATAACACATTTACAAAAGTAGAAGATCTGAGTGAATGTGAGTCATGTTGCTTGGGGTAAGGACTTTGAGTTACAACCTCAGACACTCTGTCACAGCAAATACCATAATGTATTATGTGAATATATGCAAGAAAATCTGCAACAAAAGCCACTTGGCTAAAAAGCTAAGTGTGAACACAGCTATTTGCTAGAATTTTACAAAAAACAACTCCCCTATTCAAGTACTCACATACAAAATTGGGTTTGAAATACTATACCCTTTGGCTGTTTCAAATAAATGGTCTCTTATCAGTAAAGGGCTTGTATCCAAATTTGCTTGATCAGTTTGATGACTCACCACATTTGACTTGCTAATCTGCCATCTTATGAGTGTATTTACAAGTGCATGGTATTTCACACCAAAGAGTCTGTCTCACCACTCACTGTACACAGCAGAGATGCAATATTTTCTGATTCATATGCTAAAGTTAGAAAAATACTTATTAATGCTAAAAAACAAAGCCCCAAAGATGATGAACATCACTAAACAATAGTAAACACCCTCCAGGCCTATTTTTATTGCTTATTATATTATGCTAGAGACCCACTGAGCAGCTAAATCTGAGAGAGGAATCTCATTATGTTACTCACTATGAAAACACAGGAAAATAATTTACTTAATAACTAGGAGACTCAAACATGTAAAAATCAATGTAACAAACACACGTGTAACCCCTCCCAAGGAACACTAATGACTTTATTCATAATACCTAGTCTTCTGTGTATGAGTTATGCTAATCATACAGAGCCAGTCAGGGAGTAAGAAACAGCACAGATGTGTAGGCAAGTTAACTCACATAAGGCATGGAGCACATCAGGAGTCTATCCCGATGTTCAGCTCAGGCTTACCTGGACCATATTTCCTTTTACCATGACTACTCCTTTGACATGGATAGGAAGAGCAAGGCAATACGTTTTGTTCAAATGCCTTGCAAGAGGGCATGTTTCAGTTCAAGATGATCTCAAGGAAAATGAAATACAAGCCCTCCATCTCTCTCCTGTTCTGTGCCCACTCTTGTTAGAACGTGAAAGGGACGCAAAAGCCAAAGCTTTCAATTCACATCAGCCTCCCTGCTCTGAATAGCTCTATGCAGACTCCTTGGGGACATAAAAAAAGTATCAAATGAGGCACAAATAATTTCTCTGCCTGCTACTTTGGTCTTCAGCAGCTGATGTAATTAGAGCAACTTCTAAGACTTTAACTTCTTAACATGCATCGAAATCAGTAAAAATCACATTTTAATGTGAAGTTTAGAGTTTTGCTCTTGCAGGCACCTAAACAGGCAATTGCAAGGAAAGAGCTGGTAACATAATATGAGATCAGAAAAACCTGAGAAGATAGTAACTTCTGCTTTGGATTTAACTTTCACTTCAATGGTATCTAAAAACCAAAACCTCTGAAAACCTTTTCAAGTTTGATCAGACTGGCAGGAAAATTGAATCAAGATTTTGTATTAGCAGAGAGCTTCAGGACATCTCATTGAATTAAACTGAAGCAAGGGCAGTGATTTTTTGAATGACATCTCAACAATCATTTCAAGAGAAAGGTGGAATTTATAATAAATAAAGGTGGAACCTTTATTTATTCAAAATACTCTTAGTAAGCTGCCCTTCAAATCACTGTACACTGGAATGGACAATCCCAACCAAGTTAATTAAGCTGTTTTGCAGAGCAAACAACTGTTTTCCTTGCTAGCAGTGATTCCACTGCTACACTGTACAGCAACAGAAGTTGATATAAACATACTTCAAACTTAACTCAGGCATCACACAGGAAAACCAGAACTTGGCTGATGTCTTCAACAAAATCCCATTAGCCTGAAGTCTCAAGAGAAATCTGAATCTTAGACAAATGAGGAAAAGTAAGCCTACAAAACACTAAGGTCTCCAAAGTTCTTCACAGACAGCCCATTGAGAAGTGATAGGTTTCTTGGTGAAATAATAATTCTCAGGAAATTCCCTAAGCTTTCTCCTCACAATCTAAAACCAGAAAACCTTATAGAGCAGATGTCAGACAATCTTATTCCAAAAATTTACCAAATTATCTAGTCATCTTATCTAAAGAAGAAATGTCTTCTCAAGTTGCCAAATCCATCAAATACAACTGGTCTTAATTAAATTTAAAAAAAAAAAAAAAAAAAGGCTCATCTCTGTGACCACAACTTTCAAGATATAAGGTTGCTGCCTGCAATGTAGTCTAAATTACAGGCTCTAGAAAACAAATTACATTACTGAATAGGTGTTAATTTGATAATGTCTTTGTTGTTATCCTCAAAAGTAGTTAGATTTGGAGCTAAGTGATGACCTAAACTCATGACTTAAGTAGTGAGCCAAATCACTTGCTACATACAACACACAGAATTTGTATTTTGAGAGTATCCTAGTTCTAGAAATCCCCAATTATTCAACTGGATATGAGCACTACCTGAACAAGATTCAAGTCCTGGCACTGTGTAAACCAGCTGCATTTCTCAAAGAAAGATATAGGAGACCCTTTTAGAGTTACATCACTAGAATATTGTTTAGGCAGACCTGTGCTGTCTTCATTACATGGTAATAAAGTAATTTGAATACTATTGGGTTGCAGAAATTCAGGAAAGGAATCCTGAATATCAATGTCTGTGCATATTGGTCACAAGATATATTAAGTGCAGAGATTCCTCCAAATAGTGTAAACATAAATGAAATTATGATGTAAGAGAAAAACTTTTAAACAAGATACAGCAGCAACACAAGACCATGTTTTGAGACTTCTTAATCTCTTGAAAAGGCTGAGCAATTCCAAAAAGCATCTATTGCATGCTACCTCTATATTGGGAGGGAGATTAGGAGTACATAAAGGCCTTAGACCATGGTTTCCCAATAGCACATTTTACACAGAAATATCTTTCAATGTATTTAGGACACTGTCCTGATTGTGATTAAATGAACATGATTAAGGGAAACAAAAAATATTGTCCAAAAGAGTATTCCCAGACAAAAAGTAAATTTTTCAACTCTCACTCAACTGACACACCAGCTCTGCTGGACTACTATGCATAATGACATATTACATAATTTCCTGCTATTTGGTTTTACCAACAGAAGTGAAGGTATGATTACACTGTATACCAAATGCAAGTAAAAAACCTTTAATATGACTAAGCTAAGGTAAATTTGGGAACCTCATAATTTTAAACTAAGAAAAAAAGTGCAACTAATAAACTGTTACCATCCCATCATTCTTCACAGCTTTTTGACTCAGTATGTCCCTACCCTCTGTCAATCTTTATAATTTGAAATTATAATGACTTCAGGAAAAGAAATATGCATCTGTCACTGATGCCTCTATGCTTCTGAAATGTGTAGAATCTTGTTCCTGTAGGATTAATCATTTCAAGTACCAGGAGCAACTAACCCAGAATCTCCACACCCTGCACTTGGCAATCTTGGGAACTCTTAAAGGAACTGGTCTTGCAGAAATACATTGCCTATACATACTATATTAAGAAGAATAATCCTTTTGTTAAAGCAGAGTTGAGAAACACTGAGTATGCAAAGTCATTAAAAACATTATGACAATATTGGACTGTAAAAAAAGCTTACCCCCATTACACTGACAAATCCATACCAGTTTCTGTGCTATTGAACAGCTCAGCATATCACACCTTTTTGCAAAATACCCCTCTACTTTTAAATTAGAATGATCACGTTTTCTCTGAGAATGATGTGATGACAGCATGATTAGACAAATCCTTTCATGATCCTCATCAATATACCTGAAACTAACTCTCATCTTCCTGTTAACAGTTTCCAAGTTAGCTAGATCACATTTTCCCTTGTAATGCTGACATGCTTGACAAAACCATGCTGATAATTCAAACTCTGTTAGCCATTTATTATTAACAAAAGGAGCATATCTCAAGCAATAACCAATTATCCTGAATTTAGAATTATTTTTCATTAAGCTATTTTTTCTTTACCCCTGAAAAGTAGAAACATTTGCCAGCATCAATCACAACTTATCTAAAACACTGACTTCAGCATGAAGTAGAAACTACAGCTGATCTAAGAATGTGAGCTTGCAGTTATTTTTATGAAAAAGCAATCCTGAAGTATCTATATAATAATTAGATTCTTTGGCAGGAGAAAAATGGATAATGACTTTTAGAAATGCTTTAGAATTTAGTAATGCTGATTAAACTTACTGGAACTGATAGGAACTGACTGTATCTTTCCACTTAAAATATTTAATTAAATATTTTAAGTGGAATAATAATTAAAACTATGGCAATATGGCATGGTAATATTCAAATATTAGGAAAATCTGGTATTTTGTTAATGTCTAAATCTTAACAAATAAAAATCACCTACAAGGAAATCATTACCACTAATGCTTCGGGTGTGGCAAGTTACAAACTATGCAAAGGCCTCAGATTTCTGTGCACAATGCTAAACTAGCATACAATGAATTACATTCCTGTGAGACACAATGTGTTATTCTTAAGTATGAACACAAAATGGAACTTTGTCCCTGCAAGCTGCTTTTTCGCAAGGGCTTCATTCTACGCAGTCATTTCCTACAGTTATTCAAGGCTTCCCTCTATCTTGTAGCCTTCTCCTGTTACTATCTTAACTCTAGAAAGTGACCACAAAAAAGTGGTTTTTAAAATTATTTTTTAAGAAAACTTTGACAACAATCTCAGGGCTGGTTAGCCTCAAGTCCTCCAGCCTTCAAAATGGCAAGCTATCCAGTTACAATTAGCAAACCAATTTAATGGATTTTAAGTAGAATTACCAAATAATTTATTTGCCCTGCAATAATGGCTAGACATTTCAGTAAAAAGAGGTCACATTCCTTCAGTACCTGGGCCAAAATATGAAATAAAATCCAGCTGCCAAATAGGATTACAAACAAATAAGGTAATGTCATTCTAGGTTTTTTGAAGCCTGGGACATTTGCAGCAATAATGTTTTATTATATTCAGACAACTACATTCCCTTTACCTTTTAAAAGTACACCTAAATCATGCCCATATTTTATCAATGGAAATCTTAAGTTTTGCTTAACTCTGACCATCTCCTTTTTTTTCTAATACAAAATGCATACAAAATGATTTTCTATAATGGGAATCGCATCACATTTAACAGGTAGGTCATGATAGCTCACAATCTAGCAAGTGAACTCATAGTCATTAGAGCTAGGGTTTTTTGAGGTTTTTTTAAATTTTCAAATTGGAAATATAAGCCAAAAAAACCTGTTACTTAAGATAATACCCAACACAGCTGGTGCTTTCCAATTTGATTACCATAAATAACTATAAGCAGAATTAATGCTGTTTTGTCACATAATTCTGTCCTAATTAAAATCTACACATTCCTTCAGTTCCATTCAGTCAATTCTTCCAGACAGTTAAAGCTTGCCTCTTTCAACTTTCTTTTTCACACTCTTCCATCTGTTTCTTATCAATATTAGTCATCTTATGTTTAAATTTAAAACCACCTTCTTTCTCAAGGAGCCAAATAATATTCCAGTTTTCAGAGCTGCTACTGCATAATATGGGGACAAGCTACACAAAGTCCTGGGTGTGATAGCAAATGTATTAACCTGGACATGGCTGTCACAGAGGCACAGTTGTTTCCTTTACTTAGGTAACAACAGATTGTGAACTTGTGACACATAATGAAATACCGTCATATACTGGATTAAACCACTGCTTTACTCTTTAAAAGTAGTGCACACTTCATTCTTGAAGAATCTTACTAATAGCAGACTCTTTCAAATTACTTGAACTGGAGCTGCTTGAATTGTCCACTATATCTATCTCATTGTCTAATTCAGAGAAAATACCTGCACATAAAAATGAAAGCAAAGAAGCTTTTAACCCACCTCTGACCAGCATGATAGCACCTGATGCTTCTTTTGCTAATATCTACCTTTCCCCATAGTCCTGTCATCCTCTACCACAATTGCTTCATATGTTTTTCCTCATCTTTTCCATGTGCAGACTGACAACTGTCAACTGGAAAGTCAGTATTTTCTGATAATTCACTTTTTCAACTGGCTGGTCCACTGCTGCCACTATGAAGGCTCAACTTCTCATCATTTTTCTGACAAGAGCAAAAAGGCAATGTTAGATATTGTCCTTTTCCAACACTCACTAGAAAATCCAAAAATTGAAGTGGTACTTGTGCAAACACCCATGAAGCTAAACTTAGGTTTTAGTCCAGGACTGCACAATACCTGGTTCAAGGTATTGATTCTAAATTTAGAGCAAGATTTTCAAACTCTTAAACTAAACAAATTATTTCTATCTTTTACATATAAGGCTTAGTTCTTGATGACAGTCTTTTCACAACAAGCACTAAAAGTGAGAAAAATGAAACAAGTGACAGAGCAGAGGTGAATACTGAACAAAGGAAAAATAAGTCTGGACAAAGGTAATAGGTTCCCAGGGACAAGCATTGGTAGCTGTGCTCTCTTTGATCTTGGATTACCAGCAGCAGTCCAGTTCTGGACAATGCAAAACCTGCCCAACAGTCAAGATAGTAGTAAAATATGAAGTGAACTCGATGTTGTCATGGTTTGACACTGGCCCAATGCCAGGCACCCATTAGGGTCACTTGCTCACCCTCCCCTGCCACAGCTGGGTGAAGGAGAGAACAGGAAAAAAAAGGTCATGAAGGCTTCATGAGTGAGATAAGGGCTGGGAGAAATATTTCAAGGGCAAAACAGGCTCAAATTCAGTTGCAAAGTGAAATTTATTACTAAAAGGATCAGAGAAGGATAATGAGAGGTAAAATAAGACCTTAAACCACCATTTCACCCCCAGCCCCTCCCTCCTTCTCACCGACAGTGCAGGAAGACAGGGCATGGGGTTTTGGTCAGTTCATCACTGAGATTTTCCTCTGCTGCCCTGGGAGAGGGGTCCTTTCCCTGTGAGGCTGTGGGGTCCTTCCCATGGGAGACAGTTCTCCATGAACTTCCCCAGCGTGGGTCCACTCTCACAAGCAGCATCCAAACCACACCTGCTGCAACGTGAGTGCCTTCCACAGGCACAAAGTCCTCCCAAAACCGCTGCAACGTGGGTCTCACTTTCCATGGGTTGCAGTCCACTGAGGACAGGCTGCTCCAGCCTGGAAGCAAGGGCCCTCTCTCTCCACCAGGTCTTTCATTGGATCACAGCCTCTTCCAGGCATCCACCTGCTCCCCCACGGGCTGCCAGTGGATCTCTGATTCCCAATGGACCCATGGGCTGCAGGGACACAGCTGCTTCACCATGGTATCACCACGGTCTGCAGAGGAATCTCTGCTCTGGTGCCCAGAGCACCTCCTGCCCCTCCTTCTCTACTGACCTTGGTGTCTCCATGTTGTTTCCCTCATATGTTCTCACCTCCCCCGCTTCTCTGGCTAGAAGCAAAACCCGTGACTTTGTTTTGATTTTCTCCTTAAATATGTCATCACAAAGGTGTTACCAGCCTCTCTAATTGGCCCAGCTTTGGCCAGCAGCACGTCCATCTTCAGAGCCATCAGGGATTGACCCTGCCAGACATGGTGGGAAGCTTCCAGCAACTTCTCACCAGAGCTGCCTCTGTGGTCCCCCTGCTACCTAAAACCAGGTTGTGCCAAACCAATACAGATGTGATGCCACAGAGACACTGAGGCTGAAATGACCAAATGCTACTGGCATTATCAAAGCAGAGCTAAGAAAATCAAAACACAGAATACAAATTATTTGCTTGAAACATTTAAGTGCCGCATCTTGTTCGGATGCAATTTAAGTTGCATCTTCTTTAATGAATATAAAATTCTACCTCTGCTGCTTTGATGTTTATAGTTTTTCTAGAATGAATAGAAATCCCAGTCCCTGCTATTGCTTCTATTGTAATTCAACATATTTTGAAGGAAAACTTCTTATGACCTCCTATTGTTCCAAATCTTCACATATTGTTTCTGCTATTTCTGTTGTGTGCAAATAAATTAATGTTTCTTTTTACTCTATCTTGTCAAAGTAAAGCATGATAAAGGAGAATAAGAGATAAATTATATAAATATATCAGATTAAATAAATTAGTATCTTTAATATTAAAGTAATTTCAGGAGATAATACATTCCTAAGTACTTACATTCTCACCAAGTCTGCATGAGACAATTTGTCCTGTATCTAAGATAACATTCTTTCAAAGTTTTTTCCATGAAGTAGTTTGACTTTATTAGGACACAGCAGAGTGAATGCACTAGAAACTTTCTCCTCAGAAACTTCACTGCATCTCTGAGCATTGACTATACATACCACTGTCTACATAATGGTCTCCTTCAACTACTTCCCCATCCTTTGTTCTAGTCCCAAACCTATAACAAGCCAAGAGACGGCTTGCCAAAGTTTTCTCTTTAAATTCAGGTGGGAAAAGGTCATTTTATACTTCAGTACTGGGCCGAGGTTGTGTCCAAGACGCCACAATAGCAGTGACTGCAGTGTAGCATGGCATGAAAACCACTAAGGATGACTCTCAAACTGACTTTTGGAGAGCACTCCAGTCCTGGCACACATGAACACACTTCTCATGCCCTGAACAGTGCACAGTTACTGAAGAGAACCAGTTCACCTGCTCCACATCAAAGGAATCAAAGCAAAGAGAGAGAAGGGTCAAACTGCAGGGACATTTCAAACTTAAATCTCCTTTCAACATTTTCAATATTGAACCTCACACTCAAAAGACTAATTGTTCACAATAACTTGTACAGCAGGCAGAGCTGAGGGGGGAAGAAAAAGATCAAAAAGACATCTGATACCAACTGGTGACAGATTTCACTGTCCATCAAGAAAGGAAACCTGTTTGAAATCTCTGAATGGAATTACACAGACCTCAAGCTAAAAATAATTGACAGACCTACCAAGGAAACTGTTCAAAGATCAGTGGAACATATCCTAAAGTGTTAAAGCAGTTATATAAACTGTAAAGCTATAACCTGCCTATAAAAAAAATCTGATTCAATTACACAATACTTGAATATAGAAAACTATAGTATTTCATAATTAATCTGAGAATAATGAATAAATTTGCTGTGATATGCTTTCTCTACCTAGATAATAGCTAATAATTTTGGATAATATGCATTGCTTTTTCTCTTTTGAGTAGGACACTGGGTGATTTAGAAGAACAAAAGAACCCTGACTAGAAGAGGATGAAATGCAAGTTCAATGTCACTGTTGCTCAACATAGGAGAGGGACCAAAATGACCTACACAAGGAAATAAGGATATAAAGATCATAATTTTTTTGAGAAGAACATGGAGAATAGTGTTCTCCAACACACTGAAACAATCACTTTCATATGCCTTGAAGTCTCACAGAGACTTCTTTCAGATAAGGAGAAAGACAGATGCTTATCTCTTTAAGAAATCTATGAAACTGGAATATTCAAATTATCCCAAACATTGGAAAAGGAATTAGGTTTATATTTATTCATTTGAACTGTGCTCATACCTACACTTGATTCTAGAGTCCAATATTTTACAAATCTCTCCAGAGGCTCCATCAGTTTATTTTCACATTTTTCTTATAAACTAGTGCCTCAGTTTCACCATTCATCAGACTGATTGTTGAAACAAATTCTACCTTTTTGTATAAAAAAACATACAGTTGAAAAGGAAAGCTAAGGGGGGAACAAAAAGAATGTTCAAATTATGAACCAATCTTTTTCCAGCATTCATCTACCTTTATTACTGAGAAAAAGCATCTCTGGAAATTTGTGTCTCAGCCATGAATAAAACTTCTGTCTTCATTCATATCCTGTATACTTGCATTGTCTATCTCTTTAGTGGTAACTATCAATACTGTAAAATCAAGATATACTTTGTTTTTGGCAAAATGAAACCTGAATTGTTGGTTTTGCCTTCCAAAAGGAATCTAAAAGTCTTTAGGAAAAAAAAAAAAAAGCAGGTTGAAATAAAATAAAGATACTGATCTTTTATTTAGCTCTGTTTTGTCATACTGCTGTCCAAAGGAATTAACTTTTCTGTCTTCATGAAATATAGAGCTCTCTAGTGGCATTTGCAGTGTTTAATTAATCTTCTTTATTAGAGACATTTACAATTACAGCATTATGCTAGTCAATTGAATTTCTACTTAAAAAAAAAAAAAAAGGACAACCTATTTCCACTGGTAAACTACCAATATAATAAGTAATAACTAACATGAAATTGGCGGGGGTAAAAACCAGGCTAAACCAATGTATCTTTTTCAGTAAGAGGAAAAAGGAGTAGATGCTTTAGCTCCTGTGCATTAGGAACAAGAAGCAGATGTTATGTATGTGGGTTTTATCAAGGCTTTTGACAATGTTTTTCATGACATCTTAGAAGAAAGCTAGAGAAGTGTGAGCTAGACAAAATCATGATCAGTTGGATGAATAATTGACCTTAAAAATTGTACTCGACTTGGTAACTGCTTTGAGTGTTTGCTAAACTGAAAATGGGTAGCGAGCACAATTTATCAGGCTCCTTTTTGACCTTGTTCCAAAACCACTCAATGTTGCCACTAAATTACAATGATAATCTGCATAATGGGTAGACAGAGTGCCTATTAAAAGTGCCCAGACTGCGATACATTCACATCGTATATCATATTGCAGCATATACATCATACACAGAGATGTGTCAATGAAAGTGACAGCTGGTGTCAAAGAGAGTTTTGAGAAACTGGACAAACTAAAAGAACTGATGAAGTTTAAATAGGGAAAATGAGAAGTTGTGTGAGCAAGGAGAAACAACCATACAAATGCACAGACTAGAGAAGGACTGGTGACAGAAGCTCTGCAGAAAAAGATATAGGGATTTTGCTGGATCAGAAACAGAATATGGCACTACAATACCATGCTGCTATGAAAAGGTAGACATCATATTGGGGTATATAAAAAGAAAATAATTCTGAGGATTTGTGTATTCTTTCTACTTGGTACCAAGAAGATTCTCAGTTGGAGTAATTAGGTCCAATTTTGAACACTACACTTAAAATTATCTGTCAGGAGTGACAGGTAACTCTAAGGCTTGGAAATGGACAAGATAATCTTTGACAAGTCTTTCTTCCTTACATTCTGCTATTCTATTAAAAAGCTTTGATGCACTAACAAATTAAACATTCAGCAACTCTTAAAATATATATATATACCTTCAAAACAGTTTTTGATTTGTCACTTTATTCTCCAAACTTAAATAGCACAGATGTAAAAAGGTTTCTTTCTTTTTATCACACCAACATTTTTAACATTAGACATAAATTCTAGTACCTGCTACATAGACAGCAGAACAGAATGATGTCACAATGGAGTGAAACGTGGAAGAATGAGAAAACAATTTATGGAATGCTAAGCCTTCATGACATTCCAGAGTCCTCACTCAGTTCCAAAGGGATATGTATGCAGCAGTGCATGGTCATCCACATTTTTATATCAAAATTTTAAACATTTTAGTGATAATTTTAATAAAAATATTTAAATATTCTAGCCTAACATTACTGGACTATATTTCTGAAATATTAATAACCTGTTGCATGCTAAGTGTTTTAAACCCAAGCATATTCGTTGCTTTAACCAACACCACAACAATTGCTGCATACACACACAGTTGCTTTAAGAAAGAAAATATTTTACGCACTGAATGGCACAAAATCTATTTCTAAATACAAAGGAAAAGGAAATTAAAATGAACATTAATCCAATCTTTATGTCTTTTTCTGAGTTAACAAAAAAACTTGATTAATTCAAATCAAATTGCTAATTAAGTGCTACTTTGTAATGCATGTGGTGATGCTTAGAAACTAACATGATTATTAGCAAAATTGCCAGCAGAGCAGAACTTAATTTGGACATGAGGGAAAAATGACTGGGTGAAAATCTAGTTAAATATGTTCTGTTTCTTTGTCCTTCATATAGCTGTGATCCTTAAAAAATACAAAATACAATCAGCTCAAAATCATCTAGAGGTGGAGTATGAAGGTTTATGTCATGGGTAAAGTTCAGGAAACTGCATCAGCTATTTCAGGTTTTGTCAGGTTCTTTAAATTTAGTCATTTACATATAGTTTGAAAACAGCTACACTGCTTTGTTTACTATTTTCAGCCAACAAATAGTTGAACTGCCTCTGCAGGAGAGATAGGCAGACTTCCTAGCATAGGCTGTAGCCAAGCTGCCTGCAAGAAGAGTAATCAGAGTATGTTTTCTAGCAGCATCAACCTAGTCCAGTAGCACCCCACCTGGATACCTACAGATCTAGCCTGGGAAGGACAGTGTTGACCTGCAGCTAAAAATCCTGTCTAGATGGAAGATGGCTTGCTGTGGTCTATATGCCATGCTCTCCAGCAGGCTGGGTTAGGTAAAGACCAGTTCAAGTGTGAAAAGAGGAAAATGCAGAGAGCAGCCTTGCTAATGGGCATTCTCACACATTTGGACACTAGGACAGAACACTCAGCTAAGGGTAACTTAAATGAACCAGCTCAGGCCAAGCACTGTTAATGACTCCTGACTTCCTATTAGTCCCAACTAGCATGGCATGGGGAGGCACTCCATAGATCAGACCACACTCAGAAAAAAATATTTGACCTACTTTTCCCATTATGTAAGCATCATTGTCCCCCATTGATTTGAGTAACTGGCAACTGGATCTGAATAAATGGATTTGCATATATGAATTTAAAAATGAAATGCGCATTCCAGTGACATTATTGATACAAAAATGAAAATAAGCTTAAATTCCCAAAGAACACAGAGAGGCATAGAGAAAGAATGTGACAGAATATATGTGCTTTATGCACAGATCAGAACTTCAGAAACAGAAAAGGAAGTTATTCTGACCATCCAGGTAGTCTATCATGTCTTCCAATTTTTAATATATTCTCAGAGTAGCAGAAGGTACAAATGGCTCATATTTTGTCATATATTTTTAGTTGATGGACTCCAATTATAAAACTTGCACTATCTTCTAACACATTCAAAAGACAGGACTGAACTGAATATTCATCATTCTATATTGCTTTATGTGTGTGTATATTTTACATTAAAAAATGTGGCAATGAGAGAAAAGTTGAAAACCTTTTAGGATATATGCAGTAAATGAAACAATAATGGATGATGCCCATGTAATGAGACATATGTTTCCAAAGTAGTAAAAGTGATTTATTTTCACTGCTTTCCAAACAGACAAAATACATTTTTCAAATCTATATACTTGAAAAACCATCAGTCATTGTTTGGCTATACACTCATCTCTTTAAAGACAAATATTAGAAAGACAATTCATTAGTTAGATGAACTACTGTTTTGAGATTTATACTTGCCTTGGAACACAGAAAACTCAAATTTGCTACTGGTCTGTTTGGTGACCTTACACAAACTACCTTTTTCCTCTCCACCTCTTCCTACCCAAAGCATGAAAATACAACATTCATCACCTTGAAATGAAAGGTGCTACATGAGACAGAATTATTGCCATTATTTTTACTTGTTTGGGTCCTCTGTACCCTGTGTTATGTCAGCAACCTTAACCTTTCAGAACTGAACACACAAATTCTATCAAACACCTGCCACCCCTACATCTGTTTCTATGTTTCATATGTTTCTAACATAAACTGTTCCTATGGAAAACTCTTCCTAGGAAATATAATTTGTGTGGGGAGCTGATGATGATTCTTTTTACTGGGATTATTTTCAAGCACGGATTTTATGCTTTACTTACCACATGAGGTAACTAACTGTACTTCATCATCTACTGACCTGCCTTTCAACTGCCTATTTACCAGCTATCAAATTAGTTTTAAACTACTTATAAAACAAATTCCATTCTGGCTCCAAAAGATCTCAGTTCTTTAGTTCCATATAGAAGGACAGAGAGCACAGTCCTTTTTTCAGAAAATTTCACAACATAACACAACTGGGATGAAAAAGGAGGCCATAAGTACATTTCAGTAGTGAAAGCAAAGTAAAAGCTAGCTGGCTTCTACAAAACACTGAATTACATGGCAGAAACACTGAATTCTCTGACACCACGGGAAAATGACAAATCACTTGGGTGTGGAATCACCAGGGCCTTGACTAAGATGAATTAGGCTGTCTATATTTCACAGAGCTTTTATTTCAGGAGCAACTGCTTGAAATTCTTCCAAGTACTTTTAGTTAGAACATTGCCCTTTTTATTTCAAAAGGTAAACATTTCAGGAATAATTATTATTCTATTAGAAATCCTTCAAGTTGATAAAGTTTTCCTAAATACAAGGAAGAAAGAAACAGCATGGCTCCTTCTAAGCCCTGTAACATGTCTCTGAAATTTGAAACATCTTAGGCTGATTTATTCTTATTTACAATAATTTGCAAAATTAGCTCTCCCACTTCTCATTACTAAGCCATATTCTCCTCCATTTCTTCACTGTTCTGGATCTTTGTCAGAATCTCTTGTTCTTTTAATATGCATAATAAAATATCAATTGGAGTGAAACTAGAACTGCAGTGCCTCATCCTTGACAAAACTAGCCATTATCACCCAAAATACACAGGCAGTATTTTCCAAGTATTTATACAAAACACAAGTATTCTAACTTCTATGTAAAGCTATCAATTCTATCATATTTCACAAATATCTGGGTAGGGCATTCTTCTCTCAAAGACACAATAACTGCATCAAAATTCCAAATCTAGCATCTTTACATCTATAGCACATTTTTTTGCAAATTTCATCACAGTTATGCAGGAGAATGACTATATCAAGATACAAAAAAAAAAAAAAAAAAAAAAAAAAAAAGACAGAAAAAAAGACATACAACAAGCTTCCAAATCTGTAGGTTAAGAAAATTTAAATGAAAAAACCATGGGAAAAGTTGTTTATAGTGTTTTAAATTACAAATTCTACTCCGTATCTTCCTTACATCCCAATACCTCTTACATTTTAAAAGGCAGTGTCTTGTTACAGTTTGCTGGAAGGTTTTGGCATTCTTTTTATTGAAAAAAATGGTGTAATATAAATAATGATCTTAGACTGATAGGTCAAAAAACTCCTGAAAAATATATTAACTACTGATACAAATTATTTATTTTTGGAAGGTGAAGACTAGGATGTTTGGGACCAGGTCCTCTAGAAAACCTTTTCCTACACAGAGGTTCTTCATATGAGCTACTAAGCCCTGATAAAAGGAATCTGAGATGCAATATCTAAACAGACAAGAGTGGCTGTGTAAATTTTAATTTTATACTGCAATTATCATAACAATTTTCAACGGGCAATTTTGCTACACAAAAACATTGTCCTTGTTTTTTAAATAAATTCTCTGAGATCATATGTGATATGTAAACTGCTGATGTTCTTCATGAAAGATGCATAAAACACAGCCTGAAGCAAATGGATGAACTGTAAGAAGTATTTCTGTGAAACTGTATCAGACAGATAGCAAACATGAGGAAATGCCTTATCAGCATCACTGGTCTGTATTTTGCAATCTGTAATTAAAAATTTTATTCTTGTAGGTTCCATTTTCCATGTGTCATTGTTTATGAATCATACACAAGATTATCAACTTGTTCCACCCTAATCAAGTGTATATTTTCCTATTCACAAATCACCCACAAGAGTGCCGTAATAATTAAATGTTATCAGATATTATCAAAACTGTAAGAACCTCCGTAACAATGCCATTTTCCAACACAGAATGACATTGGGTTTTAAGATACTGTCATTTTTCCTGCATAAGAATGTCCAAAAAAAATTAATGAATACCTTGTTAAAAATAAATTAAAGAGCCTGTGTGGAAAAATGTTACAGGAGGATGAGTCTTTTTATTTTGACTTATTTTCTGCTTTGTTGCACCTTATTTTCTTAGATATGGAAAACAATGATAGCAAAAAATAAAGCCTATTACATGTACTTAGGTGTAATAAAATGGAAAGCTGAGGGTGATAGGATACTGCATTTCAATTGGCCTCCATGAAGTATCGAGAGGGTTTGTCTCCTCTCCTGATCCAGTTTCTTCTCCAACATGAGATTTCATGTTATCCAGATGAGATTTATGATATCCAGATTTATGATATCCAGATTTCATCATCACATCAGACAGCAGTGAGCTGACCTCCACTATGTCTGGATGTGTCCCTGCATCAGGAGTCAAGCAGCTACAGAAAGAACATTTTCTATTTACTTATTTCTAAGAAACCTTTTCCACCATTGAATTCCTGCCCTGGTATTTATGGAGTTATGCCAGCCAGCACTGCTCCCTCATCCTGCCTGGGACAGTTTGTTTCCACACCCCAGCCTTCAGCATCAAGTGGAACACTTATCCTTGTCACTGACCCAAACAGAACTTCTACTGGGAACTGTGGCTTTGCACTCCCAGACACACTGAGGAATGCCTGGGGCCTTCTCCTGGGATGGGGGAGATGGGGCCTCGTGGGGATTGTGCTCTGTTCAAGGCACTACACCACTGTAAAGGAGAGGAGCATCCTGTCAGGATGATGTACAGGAGAATGTCAGGATCTTCACAGAGACAACATTCCCAAAACAATGCAAAGAAAAAGGAATATCTAGAGCTCCCTATCAAAGGAGCAGTGGATGAAGGCTCCCAAGAGGACGTAGGTTGAAGACGTCTGCCAAGAGAAGGAAGGCTCTTCCTGTAACTACAGAGGAATAATTGCAGAAGAGGTATAGCGACCTAGTCATAACATATTATTTAAGATTAAATCAATAGTAAGAGATAATATTAAAACCAACACCTCCAAAAAATAACAATAACCAAAATAAACTACTTCATGCTTCCCACTGTTAGTAAAATATGCAGAAAATTTTTTTGCGTAATGTAAAGATTTTAATATTTTCATTAAAATTCATTTCAGAACCTCTGAAACATAACATTAAACAAAAATGTTTACACTAACATTAAACATAAATGTTAGTTCTATTAGCTCCTGTACTCCCCATTGTTGTCCTTTATCCACAAGGTCTTTAAGGAACAGAAACCTTTCTCTCCAATAAAACATACCAGAAAAAACTTCGTTTATAACCTTACACAAACCTTATTTGTAATGTTCTTTTTAGAGACAAAATTGAATATCTGAATGAGAAAGTATAAACATTTTTGTGCTAAAGTGTTTTTTTTTCCTAAAATGGAAAAATCAAGGGAGCCAACTAAATCTCTAATTCACTCTACACTTTGCCTTGCATATTACATTATCTCCAGGATGATATAAACATAGCTAAGAAATCTGTGATGAGTGAGTGTAGGAAGTACAGGCTCATCTTTTCCTCCATTACTTTGTTACCTCTGCTACTGTGCTAAAAGAATTATAAGGTAGTGCAAAACATATTTCCATCAGTCAAATAAACAGAAAAAAACTGTGAACATGATCATACAGTGATCTATAAATAACATATTTTAATGGGGTTATTTCCTTGACCACAATCTGCATTTGAAAACCATTCAAAATGCTGGAATTTTATGGGGAAAAAGAATGATGTGTAGGGAATTAAGTACAGCACATATATTGTTAAATGTAAATTTCAGTACTGAATATATGGTTGATAGTGGATAAATAAAAGCCCTGGCTATACTGGTATGAGTTTTCCAGTTGCATGTGTGCACCTATATTGTATATGTTATTATTGGTGTAAGGAGATAGGTCTGTTTTTCTTTAAATCCAAAGATATTTCCTATTCAGAAACAAATTCTGGCAGTTGCTAAAGTCTGAAAACTGGCACATTATCTCTGCTGGAAGCATAAAAAACAAAAACATCTTTACAGCAGGATGTCGAAATAAAATGAGTAATTACCTCTTAATGGTAAATGACACTTTTTCAGAGTACAGTCCTTCTGGCACAGGTTCATACACAGCCCCTACTATCTGAAAAAAAAGAAAAAAAAGGTTGTTGAAGAAAAATACTCCAGTATTTATCTGAGGATCCAATATGATAAGTGTTGTCCCTTGAAACTATCTGATGAGCATTACATCATCAGCTCTAACTTGCAGAATAACTTAGATGCAGACTGTCTCTTCCAGTCAGGTATCCACATTAGTGTACATACTTACAGTAGATTAAAGTGCTACAATATTGAACATTTACAAGCAACTTTTGCCATTAGAATAGTAAGACAGCAAGTCACACAATGATAAACACTTGTGCTTGTTCACAAGCCACACACATTCAAGCTGAGAGCAGTTCATGTGCCAATAAACTTAAATATAAATTCTCTTGGATCATGAGAACACATGCAGAAATAACTGGGAGGCTGATCTGGCAAATATGAATACCTTAGTTGCCAAGGAGAGCATATTGGCATATTGGTGCTGTAAAATGGTAGGTTCACAGTGGCCAGCTGATAAAGGATGCCTGCAGCCCAAACATCAACCTTCTCTCCATACAGCTCACCCTTTACAACTTCAGGACTAGGGAGAAAGCAATGCAAGCCACAAGTCTTTTATTAATTCACCTAGAAGTAAGCTTATTTCCTAAAAAAAAAAATCCCCCTCCCAAAAAAACCACAAAAGAACAAAAAAACCCATACAAAACAATGAACACAACATTCAGTTACTCACTGCAACATCATTACACACACAGTTACATTCAGAAGGTTGCATATGTCATTTACCAGCCAAATTCTTTAAGGGGAAGTACAATGAATAGATTTTCAACTTCTGCTGCACTTGCTCTCACAACACTAGGGGTTTATATTTGTTGACTTGTCCTTTCCACTCACATTGTCTTTGGACTTACTGGACACAAATGAACTACAGTATTTAGAACTAGTTTACAATGATGGCATTTCAATAAAACAGACTAGAGAACAGGTAAGTATGGCACCTCATCTTATAAATCAGATATCAGAAAGATTTGAATACAACTCCTGTATTTGGAATGATAATGGATATTGTTTTGCTATTAATGTAAGTAAATGACCCTGACTCATTGTAGCATTTTCATCCTCTTAAAATTACTGTAATGCATTCCTTGTGAGAATGCAACATGGACACTGAGCAGGCAGCCAAATGACAATACAAAAACATTGTAAAGCTACGTTTAAAGAAAATGGAAGAAGGCAGTAACTTCCGTTTTGACGCAGTACAAAACAGAATTTATTTCCTTCATTTAATTTCCGACAACACTTTACATTAGTATGTGTATTCTGATGTTGGAGTTCAAGCCTTAGCAATAAGTGAATATATCATCACAGAATGTGTTTGGGGTTTTTTTTTCATTCAGAGATATACAAAAATATTTGACTTCTTTCATCTGTAAAATCAACTTGAAAACCAACTTGATTACCTTTTTCCTTAAGTTTAGAATTTAGAACCACTATCTCTTCATAATTATAATACTGTTATCTTTGGTAAAATGCCTTATGTTGGTGCTCAGAGGTACTGTGTAAATTCAATTAATGATGCTAGAAGATATCCTGCTGCTATGTACAAAATGCAGATTTTTAAAATATATGGGATGAGGTTCCTAGACAAAAGATAAGATAAATTACATGAATTTAACAGAATAGAAAGTCAGAAGAGAGATCACGGTGCAGGGAATTGAGAGAGACTGACAGGTCATACTCTTCTGATAAAATTGTTCAAGCAAGATACAGATTCTTGGGTCAAACCTAATAAGCAATTTTCTTTGAATCTTGCTGCTGCTGTTACATAACTACAGAGTGGTTATTGAATATTGTGTTAGGACATAATAGCATTTCTGTAATCACACTGTGACAGTAATTCATTAGATATCTTTGTGGAAATTTCCTTTTTGTGTATTAAAAGTGTCCATTAGAGCACACATTAATACTGCAACTTAGACAGGTGGTGAGCTCAATAAGGCAAAGCCCCTATCTTAGTAAAGTTCTAAGCATGCTCCTAATCAGAAAAAAAAAAAAATCTGAATTGAATTTTAGTAGTTTGTTTCTAGTGATAATTTTCATGCACAGAGAGATCATGTTAAAAGCTATTATTTTTAAATTACTAAATTATAGTAAAATACCAAACTGAGATTATTCAAGCCAAATTTATGTAACTATGCAAAAAGCTGTGTAGCAGCCACAGAAAGAATAAGCTGAATAAAATTGAGAGAGAAAGAGGCAAACACAACCTGGCATACAGCATCTTGATTCCTGAAGAGCAGGGAAAAATCTTGCCTGATGTCCAGAGCAAACAGCAGCCCACCAGCTGGTAACTTGGAAATATCATACTATGATTTAGAAATCATAGAAAGAATACAGTGCTGACAGGGTTATAGTTTTAGCATGGTTTCACACAAACACACAGCAGCTGAAAGTTAATGAAATAATTTGTTCTGTTTATTCATGCTGAAAGATATCTTGTTCTAAATGCTTATCAAATCCCTCTTTTTTAAATCAAAAGGACTTATAGCAGAACAGTATTTGATTTTTTCTTCCAGAACAAATGTCTTAGTCAGAAATCTCAGATACTGAGAAAGTTAGGATGACCAATACCTTAAAAAAACACTGTCTCATGCTTCAGTAGTACTTTAACTTACTGAAGCAATGTCTATTAAATGTGACCATGAAAGTTTTACAGAGATTATAAAATCCCATACTTATATGATGCTATGGTTTTATGGCTAATTAGTTTTTTAATCTAGATTTTTAAATATTATTTATTTACTTTTCAAGTGATATAGTAAAATCCATCACCATGTTCTACAGGCTTGCCTCACCATCTGTTAGTTAGAAATGTGGGTGGGGTACAGTAGTTGTTGACTAGCAAAACAGTTCTGCAGTAAAGTTGTATGTTTTGGATCCACACTGATGAGGGATGCCAAGCAGAGAAAGTACCCAGTTCTTGTTCCTGTACACTGCCACCCACACACAGGAGGGTGGTGGGAGTACATATGGTTTGCCTAATTCAGATGACAACTGTGTATAAACTGTCACTGTCTGGTCAAGACCAGAAAGAATATGTGGAACCAGTCTCACTCACAAACACTGAGAATTTAAGGCTGCAACATTAGTATGACTTTTTTTTTTTTAATTTGTAAAGGCAGTACTCATCCTTTAACTTTTAGCTTAAGGTAACTCAATTGGCTGAAACCAGACAGCAGTACTAATTAAATTTTCAGCAAACAGATGTCTACATCATAAAATGCATTCAAAACAGAATACAAAAAGGGAGAGCCCCTAAGAGATTATAAAGATTTTAATTTCCATTGCTCAAAGGGCTGAGCTTACTGCCACTAAGCAGCAGTACTGATGCTATTAGCCACAGCTACTACAAGTGCCAGCATTTAAATCTTGCAGCTAATGTATTCAAGATAATAACTCTGGTTTTCATCTAAGTTTGCAAATCACTAGTGATTTCCAACTTACTTATTCAAGCTGAAAAAGGTTACTCCAGCATCACTATGTTAGCTGTAAGAAAGTCCTTCAATAAATAAATGTCCATAGCAAATGCAAGGCTAAATTATTTTCAGTTAAAGACATAGAATTATATCCACAGAATAACCATCCAAATTCTCATCATTTTTTAACAGAATTTTATAATTGTTTCTTAGAAAGGTCAGTCTTGCTCAACATACTAGCTCTGCTTTTATTCTTAATAACTGAATTCTCTATGCCCATGGTCTCAAAATGAGACATTGCTTAATCCAAATAGTTGTTTTTCCTTCTGAACTTCTTTTTACAAAATTAAGCAGGTATTTTAAATACAGAAGAGGTTTCTCATACTACCTCACATTTATAATTAAGTTTATTTTTAAAAAAACAGTAATAACCAAATCTTGTCAGTACCATGCTACTTGTAAAACATCAAGCACATAACCAAATCACCTCTACATGGCCTTCAAGATAGTTCAGCAATCAAGCTTTCACTTATAATTTTGCTTACTGATGTTAGTTTACTGTTGTTTTTCTTTAAGAACACTTTTATCAGAGATATAAACAGACTGTACATAAGTCTGCTACATTTGCAGACATACCACAGTGCTACATGAAAGATGACTATCCTCACTAGATTAGCTCATGTTCACGTTAGTTATGAGTGGACAGAAGTTCCAAAATTAAGAAAGAAGTCCTACATTTGGAGAGGGAGGAAAAGAGGAGATAAAGGAACAATGTTTTCAAAACAGCATAAATTTTCTAGAGCCTCTGAAGCTTCTAAAGAATGTTATCAATACTTTCAGGCTGACTTTACATGGGACACAACCAGCGGAGATTTCCCAAGCTGCACAGAACTTTAATAAGCCCCTCATGATTTATTTTGGTGCAGTGTTCACTGGTGCTTCCAACAGGTGTAAGAACACACTGGTATATCGCATCCTGCAGCAGTAGTTTCAAATCAGACTTGGTTTCGACTAGACAGTTAGGAATTAATGAAAATAGTCGTGATTCTTCAAGACTGACTCCCAGAGAAGGTGATGGTTATAATGAAAGGCTAAACAAAGAATCATCTGCCAGTGCCGAGGATTTTAGTAGTGCCAGTTATTGTTTTTAGTCTTTCACATAACTTCAATTAATTACTTAAACTTTGATGGAGATTCCAGCAGGAGATATTAGCTATACAAACACTCATGCCTAGAAATCATAACTATTTCAAGAAACAATCCAAGCTGAAAATAGCTGAAAACTAGCAAAGTATCTAATATGCTTATCCCATTCTTCCTTAGCTAAGGATAGTGATTTTTCCCACTATTGGAGACAGGACAGTAGGAGAGATAACAGACAAGCTTAACATACATTGATCAATGGCTTGGTTTCTTTAAACTTTGGTCCCAAATGCTATAAGAGTCTCTGCAGCTTCTTTTAGCTTTGGGTAAGTTGATATCTTTGTTAAAATACCTATATAATAACATTCCCTTTCAATGGATAACCTTACTACTTGCTGGCAGGACTCAGCAAAGCAAAGCAGAGAAAGGGATTTTCACAATCTTAGTGCCTATGACTGCCACAATTCACTATAAAAATTAAACTGCTGTTCCCTGGCCCAAATAAACAGGGATTTATCCAGTAGTGTCTTGAAAATCTTCAGAGATAAAAGACTACACAACCTCTCACTTCTATATTTGACTGTTACAATGAAGGAAAAAATCTACATATATCAAGTTAGAATCTCTTCTGTTTCAATTAATGTCTATTTTCTCAGAAAAGTTCCAAGACCACAAATTTCAGTGCAAAGAACGAGAAAATGCTTGTATTTGGACACCAGTTCTAGATCTCTACAAACACATCTTCATTTTATCAAACTACTGCAGGATAATTTGTGTTTGGAGACCACTGTGAAAAAACTTTACATTTACTCTACAATCAGTTCTCAGTCACAGAAAGAGGGGGGAAGAATTCAAGGGGAGAAAAAAAAAAAAAAAAAAAAAAGAATAAAAGAAGCACCAGCATAATCCCAAAATAAAAAATAGCAAAGCAATTGCTGCATATCACATTTTTTCTCTGGATAGT